GAGAGAGAGAGAGAGACTCTCTAAATGCGATCATCGGATAAATTAGCGTTATTTTCTTGTATTTGTACACATATATGTATATATAAATATTAAACCGAATATGAATATATGCAGTATTATCGTTACATATACTTTTCGATGGAATTTAACGAGGAGTTAACAAAGATATTTCTAATTCAAGGATCGTACCGTGTAATCCGCACTACATGTTAAAATTTGTATTATTTCTATTTGAAATTTATCTGTGTTGCAAAGTAGGGCACATTGTGATGCAACTAGATAAATTAATCTAACTGTGCATCTAAATTAACCTAAATTAAGCTACCATCTAAATTAAACTTAATTAACCTAAATCTCATCTACATTACGCGACAGTTAATTACATTCTATGTCTCGAGAACGTTATAAGATCAAATTAAATTTTTTTAGGATACAGATTTTTTTCAATTATTACTATATAACGTTATAGCTGTTTGTTCAGTTTTTCCTAGTTTAAGTTTCTAAAGTCTTTTTAATTAACATTTCTAAATCTGCGATTAATGGTAAAAACCCTCATATTTGAAAGATCAGTTATGCATATAAAATTAAAGGTATGTAAAAAGCTTTAAAGTTAAATTAAGAAAAATTTTGAACAAATAGTTATAACATTATATAATAATAATTAAACAAGATCTGAGCTTGAAAAAATCTAACTACGTACACATACACATAAAATAGAGTGAGTTATATATGAAAGATATGTTCATAGAAATATATGTATGTATACTCAGTGCAACACGAGAGTGTGGTAGTTCGCGAAAAAGAGGGAATAGTGGAATGTACTCCTTCATCTCCATAGCAAATATTGGATCGTCGGATATATACCGAAGATTTTGGATATTGCTGGCACAACATCCTCCGGCGTCGCTCTCGGTGTTCCATACGATAGAATCAACAACGTTATAAGGTTGACCTCTTATTTTATCACGCTCACGATAGGGCAGTCAAAGTGTCGATAATCACAAATCGATCATTTTCGAAAAAAATTATCCTTTTAAAATTTCAGCCCGGTTTAAAAGTTGTATGGTAAAATCTAAAAATTTCCAATTTCCGATATCTCCATTGATTTGTTTTTATCTGCAAAACGAAATTATCTCTTTAATTCTTAAATTCGAAAATTTGCAGATAAAAGAGAGGCAACGGTAGCCTTTTGGAGCGCAATCTGCATATTGTTTTAATATTATTGCATCAGTTACGGACTTATTGTTGTCTATTAAATATCGTTATGCTGAAATGAGATCTATTACGAGCATATGCACCGAATATTGAATTATTTCTAGTCGAACGATTAATTCGGTAATTATTTGCGATATCACTTGATTTGTAATACACCATTGTCGGCTAATTAAGTTCTCTCGTTAAAATAACGTGTTCCGTGTGACGTGGCTGCGGCTTAAGTCGAATAATTAATATTTGGCAGCCGACTGCGTTAGTGTTCGTCGGTGCGTTAATTAGTCCAATTTAATATGGAATCACGCTTGTTAGCGGCGCTGTATCGTTGGTAATCGACTATTTTTTCACGCTTACACAAATAATACGTTCGGTATCGTCATTTGAACAATGGTGATTGCGCGCTCTGGTTTAGATATAATTATTACTGCTCGCAATACCGTTTGCTCGTTACGCATTCATTTTCAGCAAGCTGATGTAACGCAATACCGTCTACCATCGATATTGTTCGATCCGCACAATTAACGTAAAATATTACACTTCCCCCATAGTGCACGATAATTTCAGCTGTGGAATTTATACTCGCGGAATTTATACTAGCTTGAAAGTTCATTCGCAAGCGTTCAAATCACACAATCGGAATCTTCTCCCATTCAACAAACATGACTCTGATTATTCACATTACAAAATCAATTGTCGATTTGGTTGCTCTCTATTTTTTTTTCTGATTGACTTGATCAGAAATTATTTTTAAATTATTGGCGCGACGTGCTACTTTATTCGCGTGAACAAAAATTAAAGCTTCGGCTCATAAATTCCTTGGAGCGTTTCTCTTCAACAACACGCGCTACATAATCCCGTGGCTTCGCTACTCACATCCAAATATACTTTCCGCACAGCTGAATAAAATCAATGCCGTTAGCAGGAGATCTTCCGTGAACCGGAAGAATCGATAACTTACGCTCACGCGTCATTCACGCGTTCGTTCTCCACATTCGGGATGCACTTCGCGCATCCCGCACGTCCTTTTTCCTCGGCACGTTATTCAAGAGGATAACCCTCCACTTCCTTCCCGGAGTGTTTTTCTCGTTCGAGCGTTCGAGGGCGTCCGACACCTCGTTTCAAGGAACCGCCCTTCATCTCGTGAGTGTCCGGCCGCGGCGCCGGCACGTGACTCGATGCAGAATGCACTTTCGAGCGTGTTTCCCTTCAGCAAATTGCAAATTGATTTCTCCCGTAGCCATTGTCCGGCCTCCGTACTGATTCCGCACGAGTAAATTCACGGTGCGCAAAACAGTGTCGTCGTTCAAGCTCGATAATTTATCGGCTTTACGGTCGGAATGAAGGCGCGCGCTCCGTAAAGTCGGAGAAACGACGCAATGTTAGAACTGCATCGGCAACTGCATTTATTCCCCAAGAAACGTTCTGTCAAATATTATTTGTTCGTGTGTTAGCGTGAAAACGCGTTTTCATTGAAATATTGCGCGACTGTTTGTTTTAACGTTTCCACCGCTGTTACGCGCTGGGAAACGCCGCGGTGAAATGGCATTGACATTTTTGAACGTGAGCGGTAAATATTTGCGGTTCAATGTATGCGCACAATTACCATTAACTCGAGACTTTTCCATCATCCGCATATATTCAACGCCGCCGCCGTGTCGCATTGTGCAACTTTAATTTTCCCAATAAACGACTTTTTGTATTACGCGAGGAGGGGAGGGGAGGGGGAAAGAGAGAGGGAGAGAGGTCACCCTTTGTAATGACACTTTATGTAAATCGCTCCTGTTTACTCGTGGTTTAAAAATAGTCCGTCCCACGATGGTGGATATTGAGTCCACCGTGGTTATCCGAGAGACGTGAATAATGAATCTTTAGATAGCGTGACTTTCTCTCTCTCTCTCTCTCTCTCTCTCTCTCTCTCTCTCTCTCTCTCTCTCTCTCT